CCAGGTCTGTGGTAGAGCACTTCTGGGTTTGACCCCCAGTATCAGAAAAAAGAACAAAACGGAAGAAACTAATACCTCTGAAACTTACTAACTATTCTAATTGTCTCTAGTTAATAATTCTTAAATAAAGGCATATATTCAATCTAAAACACCATTTGGTCAGCATGTATGCCATCCACTGTATCATAGAAAATTCTACCTAAAGCCCAGACTGGATTCTTCATTGGACCATGGGAAAGAGCTAGAAGTAGAAAATTCACTGCTGTCTTCAAATGCCTGGAAACTGGAATATATGGCCAAAACACTGATAATTTGAATCCTAGCTTGGATAACCCACATTAAGGAAGAAATAATATAAAACATGATTCTTTGGTGATTGTTGGCTGATTTAGCAGAGTTTAATCCTAAGAGCTACATATTATTTCACTTCTAAACTCAAAACTTGAGGGACTCCATCAAGCAACATGCCCAGGAAGCAGAGGGACCAACTGTGGAATCACAGAACATTTTCCAAGTAACTGGGTCTGTTAGTCATTTCCACTTCAGTGTGACACACTACCCAAGAAAACAAGGACAGTAACTAGCACGCAGGACCAATGGATGTTAAATTCTCAAGGTTTAAACATTTGCAAGAAAATTCATCTTTCAAATATAGGTATTGGAAATTCCTATTTTTCTAGGTGAATGGTCTAAATGATTATGCAGCCTGTAAAACTAGTTGAATACAGTGAGAAGCCAACTCAAGAGCCCTACAAAAACTGGACTGAGAAAACCCTCACTTTCTTCATGTTCATTTCAGCCAGCATGTACCAAGCACCTAAAACCCAAGGAAATGGTCCAATCTGCATGAGAAAACACAATGTCTAGGGCAGTGGTGGCAAACCTATGGCATGGGTGTTGCAGCTGGCTGTTTGTTACCATTGAAAGCTGTAAGAGGTTCACCATTACTAACCTAGGGCAAAGGACAGAGCAAAAAGAAAAATGATGTCATGTAGAGTTCTGGCTTTGCCACAGAATGGTGACATAACCCCAAGCCCTTGTATCTGCCACTGGGTAAATGGGCTTTACTTTGTACCAGGTGTCCTATAGCAATGAAAATAAATTATGATAAAACTATGAAGCTTTTGGAAAATCACATTTGTATGATATTATACATGATAAAATACAACACAATTATACACAATTAGAGAGTAGAAAACAGAATTATATATAATAATATAAATAGAATTTCATGAAGTTAATTCACAACTTTAATTCTATGAGATGTTTATAAATGTTCCCCCAAAAGAGTCCTAATTTAAAACCACCTGCTTAGGTCTGTATGAGAGCACAGCACTTTAAGAGGCGACAGCACAGAATCCACATTACCATTTGGATTAAATGTCTGGGGCCAAAACTTCATATTGTGTAACTGCGGAAAACATCTAGGCTCGCATAATGAGAATTTACCAACTATTAAATAATATACAGTGCAATTACACATGATAGCATATGTCTTCCAATGTCCCATCAAGTGGAGTAAGATTGAAATATTAAAGTTTTGCTTTGCACTTATTAGCTTTATTACATTTTATAAGAAAAAAATTAAATAAGCCCATTAAGCAGTTTTGTTACCAACGAGTGGATTTTCCAATATTTCCTTCATCTAGTTTATGTAGCATAGCCTCTAATGTAATCATTTTTGTTTGAAAAACCACAATTTTTATAGTCAACACCATTAAGGTAAACTTGGTGTAGGATAAACCCAATCATAACACATCAAACAGTGTTTTATAAAGATGTTAGTAAAGTGGATTTCCATTTTGTGATGATTATACCATTTATTTGTGCTGATCTAAAAGCCAGAGATAAAAGAACAACACCACAAACTGAAGCCAGGCAGAAATGAAGCCCAGCGATGGACGACAAGAGGTCATGCATCTTGGCACGTTCACACTCTCTCCCCTTAGGAATGATACAGGTGCAAGGTGAGTGCTGCACACCTGAACTCTAGAGGCCAATGGGAGACGACCACTTGAGCCCAGGAGCTCAAAGTCAATGTAGGCAACACAGGGAGACACCATTTCAAAACAAAACAAAAACAGAATTATACAGGCCAATGAATAAAGGGAATGTCTTCTTATGAGAACTCTACTATATAAAGTAGTAAAATTAGCATGATACTGCTATTTACCTTCCATAAGCAACCACTGTCCAAAACATATTAATCTTACAACATTCACATTGAGCACTGGAAATGGTAGCTAAATGAACTCTTAGTGTAAATTGCTGATATCATTTTAAAGACCATGTTCTAAGCACATGTGGGAGAATGATTTCCTTTGACATCGTGGTCTTAATGAAAGAAGTTTCAGCCATGCTTCTTAGCTTAAAACAAAATAAAAGGGCAAATGTGGAGTTATTGTTTAATGGGTACAGAGTTATACAAAATAGAGTTCTGGAGATAAATAATGTTGATAGTTGAACAATGTAAATGTATTTAATGCCACCAAACGGTACACTTAAAAACGGTTAAGATGGCAAATTTTATGTAACACATATCTCACCATAATTAAAAATAATTTTAAGGTCAGGCATGGTAGCAAATGCTTGTAATCCCAGCACTTAGGACGCTGAGGCAGGAGGATCACGGCAAGTTTGAGGGCAGACTGGGCTATATAGTAAGACCCTGACTCAGAACAAACAAACAAAAACATTAAAAACAAAATACAATTTCAGGGCTGGGGATTTAGCTCAGTGGTTTCATCACCTGCTGTGTAAACTCAAGGACCCAAGTTCGATCCCTGGTACCAAAAAAAAAATATATATATATATATAATTTCACATTGTAATTTTTCCCTGGGAAATGGACATGTTATTTCCACTTCTCTACTATCCCTTTTATATACACCTATGTTTTAACTCGATAGAGGATTAAAATTTTAACATCTATGCTGGGGATGTAGCATAGTGGTAGAGCACATGTTTAGCGTGAATAAGGGCAAGAATTTGATCCTCAGCACACACAAAAAATTTAACATCTAGAATGTTATATCTAATAAAAATTATCTGCTAGGGTTTGGTAGTCTTACGTTCCTTCCCCTCTGGAATAAGTCAGGACAATAAATTCACAGTAGACCTTCTATTAAGAAATACAAAACTAAACATTTGGTGAAATAACACATGAAGTTAGGAGTCTCAAGAAATGTTTTTGGATTCCATTTAAAGCCAATAAAAGGAATCCAAAGAGCTACTAGAAATCCTTCCTGTTTTATGATATTTAGCTGCTAGCAAAGAAGCAGTCAGAAGACAGGCTGAAGCCTTGAAAACCGCTTCTTTCAGGGAGCTTGGGAGAAGCAAATTGGAGCACATATGTTCCTTCTTATTTCCTTTCTATGAACCTTCAGAACAGGGTACAAAATACAAGTCAGATATGGGTAAGTAGGAGGAGAATGGGAGGCAGGGCTTCCTGGAAGGGATCACTAGTACAGCCTCAGAACTCCAGTCACGTTAGGGCTCCACTACTCGTGAGGAAGACCCAAGGGCAGTATAGAATATTTCTCTTAATTCTCAAAGTAGAAGGACTTAACTTCCAAGCCACGACTTAACTTCATGATACTCAGGTACAGGGAAAAAAATTCCAAATATGTGAACTGGAGTTCTTTTTTGTTTTGTTTTGTTTTTTTGGTACCAGGGATCAAACTCAGGACCTTGGGCTTATGAGGCAAGCATGGGGCCACCGAGCCAAATCCCTGCCCCTGAACCTGAATTCTTAAAGGACTACTTATTTATATATTTTTTGATAACGGGGATCAAACTCAGGACCTTGCGCTTGCGAGGCAGGTGGCAGCACCACTGAGCTAAATCCCCAGCCTTTAAAGGAGTATTTTTAGGAGCAAGGACTCACACCCTGGCTGAGGATCCTGAAGCTCTGGATGGGTGGCCATTCCAGTTGACTCTGAAAGAGCTTTCAGCCTCAAGAAACTGGATCCCCTGCCAGGGCTACATGGAGGGAGGAAGGGTGTTCTAGGATTTTAGGATATGACCCTTTGCGGACATAGGAAAACAGGGCAATTTCTATTTGTATTCATCAAAACTTAAAATTCTAAAAATGTGAATAACCAATTAAAAAAAATTATTTATTTTACAACTCTGAAATTATAGATGAATATCGATGTTAAAATATCTAAGGTAAAAAATACATCATAATGTGATGCAGGCTTAGTGTATATATGGAAAACAGCTCTCTGGAGGAAAGCTTTATTACTCCCTCAGGGCTTTCTTACAGAGTATGGATTTTTTAATTCCTAGTGGAATATTTTTCATACACCATTGCAGACTATTAAGTACCAGATATTACATTATGTAGTTTAAACTTTGTACTACTGCATGAGAAAGACTTCCCTGTTGAGAGAACCATTTTTTATGGTTAGCATTTTTTAATATGAAAATGAACTCTCCTTTAGGGTAAGATCACTGCAACCGGAATTTGGGAGAGTTTTGTAACTTAACATATTCACCAATGTGTGTAGAAATTCTCTCAAGGGAGTAGGGTGAGGAGAGAAAGAAATACAACAGGAAGAAGGCTTTTTAATAACTTACAGTGTCAACACAGGGCAAAGCAATGGTATTTATGAGGTATGGCTTCCACTGGGCATAACTGTCAATGGGCAAGGGACCGGCAAAGGGTGCTAGCAAGTTAAAAAATAACAATAATGGCGTGAAAGAGCAAAGGAAAATATATATTAAACTTCAGGCCAGTTAAACGTATACTTGCTAATGGTGGACTATTAACTGCTCACCCAGGAGAGATGCAGACTTGAAAATATTAAAAAGGCAATATAAATGCACTTTTCAGGCAATTCCTGAGAAAACAAAAGATGCCTTGCAGAATTCAGGAGTCAAACGTGGAAATAAGTTCTGAGCACTGGTGGTCATGTAAAAATCTTTGCCACAGAGTCTGTGGATCCCCAGCACTGGGCAAAAGTGGATAGAAAGTTTAAACAAAACTGACTACTCACTTGTAGACTGTGCCTCCGTTGCCATGACCAAGGGTGTCTTGATATCGTATGTCTTGTTCATTCATCTCCATAAGAAAGAAAGAAAAACAAAAAGGGTGTCATGCTGTGGATAGAAATGTCAAGGAAAAGCAACTCTGGGCCATAAACAACAAGCAGTCTGGGTCATTTCAAGTTCAGCTGCAAGAACGAGAAGATCAATACAACATTTGCTGTCCAATTTATAAAAGACGATACCAAGGGACAAAGTGATGGAAAGTTTAATGACAATTTGTTTGCCTGGGTCATTTCATTAAAGTTTGATAAAAGGTGTCAAAATGGAATGATATAACATAGCTCAAAAGGGTCAGGTCAGAGATACTGATAAGAAAACAGTCTCCGGCACTGCATATAACCAGGACTGAAGAGCACTGCACATAAGCAAAGTCAAATTTGGGAAGACAACAAACACACACAGGCATCAGCCAGGAATCTAATCCATGATCTGTAAATATATCAGCCCCTAGAAATTCCTCAGGTGACCCTATAATTAACATTTACCCAACTATCTGAATAATGTTTATCATTTTCCTAGAAGAGAAAGAATTTTTCTTTGCAAATGGTAAATTAGTACACAGCCATAACTGTGCAGAAATCATATTATTCTGATGTAAAAGTGCCAGATAAATGCACTTCAAAATGCACATACAGTCAAGCATTATCATGCATAAAGGGAAAACTATATAGACATGTAATTTTTACGAACTAAAGTCATTTATATAATTAATATATAAAACAGCATGCACATTTTCTAAGATTCTATAAAATCTATTATACCAAAAATACTACCCTCATTTTTATCTTGACTGCACAGTGAATTATGTTAGCACCTACAAAATAATGTTTTAGAGTTTTTTAAGGGACTCCCTAAATCATTTATCAAATGACTTTAAGACTAGTCAGACTCTATTTAATGCATTCAGTAATATTTTATGCACTGGTTCAGTTGTTTAAAAATTAACTGCCAACTTTATTAACTAAATAGATTTAATAAAGGTCTTATTTTCCATATAGCAAAATCTTGGGAAAAGCCATAGTAAGCCCTGAAAAAAAAATCAATTTCCAGGGAATTGCACTGCCTTGCATGGACAGAAAATGGATGGAGTTTTTAATTCAATATCACTTTGAAAAAAATAGTTTGCTCTCAGATCATTATAGTAAAGCTTTAAATATTTGCTCTAAACTTCCACCAATTGAATAAAGCCAGGCTTCATTTATCAAGGGAAATATTTTTCTTCTATACATTTCTGAAGTTGAAGCTTCAGAGAACTGTGATAATTAGGACTACAGTGCAGGTACCAGAAATAGCTTCTTTTCCAAGCTGTTTTCCCAATCCCTAAAAGAATATCGACAGATTAATGTGGAAAGGCCAACTCAGCACCCAATTTAATTGTAGTACAACCTGATTGATGCAATTTACAGTCAGCTAATTACTATATTTAAGATCAGTGGAAAAAATTGACAGAAAAATGAGCAACTACTTTCCTACTTGAGGGAAATTCTGTTTACTACTTTTACACCACTAATACAGAAAAGAAAACAAAACCTTTTAACCTATATCAAAGACATGGCATGAAGAAAAGAAAACAACATTATTCTGGACTAAATGATAAATTTCCAAACAGCATGCAGAAAGGCAGTATATAAAGTGACTGGAGATGCTACACTAGCAAAATTGTTATTAAGTTTACTTGGACCGATGGACACCTGAAGAGCTCTGTCTATGGGTGAATGCAAAGAGGCAACTGGGCCAATTCCCCAATTCTCTAAGCAATGTCAACAGTTTCCAATGACCTAATTTGTATCATTAACTTGTCTAACAAGCTGCACTCTCATTGTGGCTTGAAGTAGATTTCTAGGAGAGACAAATTTCACTTAGTCAAGCCCACAAATTCTGCATTAGTGGCACTAAGATGTAAGGCTAAGTAGGATATAGGTATACAGCCCACAGGGGCCAGGCTCTGGAAGGGCCAGTTTATGGTCGTGTCCTCCCCACCACTTCACAGGCCTGGGGACAGATATGGATATGAGTGTGGCACCTGTACCCATTATAATCCAGGAGGGTAGGCATTCAACATCATCAGGTGGACAGGCTGAGGACCAGGGGGTGTTGTGGGGGGAGACAAATGTTTGTTGCATGTGTAAGCACCTAAGTGCTAAGTATTGCACAAACAAATTCAAGAATACAAAAAAAAGAATGTGCCATAGACCCCAGCACAGAGGCTTCCGGGTCAATGTGCCACAGCTCCCAGCGCAGAGGAGGCTTCTGGGTCAACCTGCCACAGCTCCCAGTGCAGAGAAGGAGACTTCCAGGCCAACCTACCACTGCTCCCAGCACAGAGGAGGTGAGCTGCACAGGCACCAGCAGCCGACCCCCTACCCACCCCGTTGAAATGAGAAGACACATAAACAAGCCTCAGAACCAGACTTCCAGATCACCTACAGCAACCCCAAAGAGAAACAAGAAGGAACACTCTGATACTCAACCACTTGGACTCCCTGAACTAGCAACAAAAGAGGATCTGGAAAAAATGAAATCAGAAATAATTTCTGACATAACAGCAGGCATTGTGCCCATAGTGCAAGACATGATTAATAAATCTA